AGAGGAGGAAGGGGAGAAACTGAATTTGCACGTGGACATGGAAGCAGCGAGGTCCGCAGTGGGGGAGGCGGGCGAACTTCAAGGAGCCCGACCCAAAGGGAGATTTATCTGCGTCCTGCCGGGTGAGAAAACGCGAGGGTTAACTCTGGACAAGGGGCCCGACTAAGCTGCGACCGCCCCGCCTCAGCTTTAAGCCCGGTGACAGCCAGTCACCAAGGTCTAGGGCTCTGCTCTGCCTACGGAAGTCCGGAGGCGCTACGTGCTCTGCGCGTGCGTGCGCAAGGTTAGGGAATGAGGTTTTCCTGAACTGCCGGACGTCACTGAAGGCTGGGTGCGGAAATCCGGGATAAGCAGCTTCCCCTTAGCTTCCGGTCTCGAGCTCCGAGGCTTTTAGTACACGTCGACTGCTGAGGTTTAACGAACGGGAAATCTGCAGGCCTCCTGTCCCAGACTGCGCAAACCTCCCAGGTGAGGTCGTCCTCCTGCAAAGGTTCCTTCCCCTGTCGTCTTCCCACTCAACCCACTTCGGGATATGGCCCAGGGAGCCCAGCGACGCCAGCGCCCTTCCATTTGTTACTATCTAGGGGTCTAATAGGAGTTCCTCCCCTCGCCAGTTCAAGAATCAAAAGGCAGAAGAAAAAAATCTCTAGCAGCAGCGGAGAAACTCTGAAATGCAGACGGAAATCAGTCCGTCAAGAATGGCTTTTATTAGGGGGTGAGGAAGCACACAGAAGGCCCTCTGCAAAGCAGAAAGCCAAAGCCCAGCTTCTCTTCTTCCCCTAATTTAGTAGTGGCCAGTTTGAAGACAGACAACACAGCTGACTGGCCTACATCTGTTACTTAAATATGCCCAGATCCTTGACCTTGTTGAGTCAGCCCATCCTGCTGGGGTCCTCCTGGCAGGAGGAAAAGCCAGTAAGGCTGTTTTAAGTCGTCAGGCTTTGTCTTGCTTGGGTCAGGAAGGTGAAGAAGCAGCCAGCTACATTGTAAATTTATAGTCTCTATTTCTTAGCAATGGGCCCTCACCCTATCTGCCTGCCTATCACAAAGGAACTAACTTCTAGTCTCTCACACTCAGCTACATCCGCAGCACTTAACATTTTGAAACAATGTCTCCCAGACCGCCCCTCAAATGCTGGTTTACCAGTGCTCAGTACAGCAGGGTTTTATTGCTTTCCTAAGAGAGTCGCCAGCCTCACGTTTATGGCACATAGGAGTACTGTTTCCAGAATTGTGCACCAGACTTAATGGCTCACACTTGGAACATCATCACTCTCAAACCCAGTACTTTGGAGACCCAGGAAGGAGGCTATTTGAGTTCTCTGCCAGCCTAATTTACAAAGAGTTCCTCTCCAGCCTGGACTATATAGCCTGGACCCCTTCCTCTTAAGTAGAAACTGTTGTGAACGTCTTGGGTCTAGGACTGCAGCTGTTTCTGGGAACATATAGTCACATAAAAGACTCCTCCAGAGTGATACCCAAAATGCAAAGTGCCTGTCGACACAGCTTTGTCAACACTTGTTTTCAAGTATTACCCATCCAGATAAAGTATCTTGGGATTTTGTTTCATGTCATGAAATTGGACACTGCCATAAATTTATTGGCCATTTGGATTCCCTCATTCACGATGTTACAGATCCAAAAATGTTTGCCCATATCTTCACTGGGTTTTCTCTTTGACATGCTGGATACTTTACATATTTTAATACCATTTCTATGTTGGCTCTATGACCTGCAGTGGTCTTTTCTCTATTGCCTGCTTTTTCACTTACACAATATGAACTTTCTGATGCACATGAACTCTTAAATTTACTATATCCGTTTCTCTGATATTCATTTCACTTAAAAAAAATATTTGCCAAAAAACGCTTGATAGTCTCAACCAGAAGCTTCATCCTCTTTTCCATTTAAATAATTTGTCCAGAACAGGGGTTATTAAACTATACACCTGGGTCTATGCTAGTCCAGATCTTGTGTGTTTGGGCAAAGAATATGTTTTTATAGTTTTGTTTTGCATTTTGGAGACTTGAGTCTTACTACATAGTCCTTGCTGACTTGAAATTTGTGACAATCTTCCTGTCACTGCATCTAAGTGTTGAAAGTTACAGGTGAGCATCACTAGATTTTGCTTAGTTTGCTAAACAGCTTTTTAATTGTATTCCACAGTGAAAATGACAGGAAATTCAAGTTTCAGAGTCCATAAGTAAAATTTTATTGGACACATCCACACTGGTTTGCTTAGAAATCATTAATAGCTACTTCCACATTGCAGTCACATGTGGTTGAGTAATGCAGTACACAGTTTAAAATACTGTTGCCCTTGCAGGAAAAAATGCTGACCTGTGGGATAAGGTATCGATTTTAACTATATAAAAAAAAATTCCCAAATCACAAGATAACACTTCACACCATTAGAACAAAAAATAATAAATTTGGTAAGGACATGGTAAGAAGTCAGAGCAGTCATACATCCCTGGTAGAAACATAAAATAGTTCAAGTGATATTAACATCAGTTCCTCAAAAGGCAAAGACCAAGCAATTCCACTAAGGATCTACCCAAGAGTACTGAAAACGTATTGGCACATGAGTTTGTATATTTGTTCAAAACAACATTATTAATAGTCAAAAAGTACAAGCTGAAATGTCCATCAATCAATACACAAAATATGGTTTTAATCATATGGTGAAATATTTCAGCCACAAAAAGGATTTCTAGTACAACATGACCTTGAAAATATATGCTGAATGAAATCAATTAGTGACAAAGAGCCATATGTTTTATTTTTCTATGGACATGCAATGTATAGAATTCCAAATACACACAGAAAATAGATCAGTGGTTGCCAGGTCTTGGAGTAGAAAAATGCTAACAGATATAAAAGTCTTTCCTGTGGTTAATGAAAAATGTACTGAAATTACAGAATGGAGGTGATTGAACAACCTTAAGAGAAAATACTAAGAGCCACTGAACAGAACACTTAATTTTTAAAACTTGAATATTAGTTTATGAAAGATGACCATTAATGCTGAATGTCTGTGGTTATCAAGCCTAGGTACAGGCATATACTTATATATGAGTTACTTTCTTCTGCTTGGACTTGATTGTTCGTAATTCTGAAAACATTTATTTTCACAGATGTTTTCTTGACAGATGTTTTCTTGCAAATGAAATTTTTTTTCAAAGTTTTGTTCTCTACACCTGCCTCTATAATAAACCCTCTTCTTTAAATACTGCTCATAAAGAAATTCCATTTACGGCTTAACGGCCCCCACCTGTAACTGACACTATGGACGGTTTCTTCCCCCAAATCCTAACCTCTTGTTGCATGACACACATGCAATTGCCTTTCACTGTGAAAGGAAGCGAATGATCAAGCCTAAATTCACAGGGCTGAAGATGTGCAATACATCCTTGGGGAGAGTACCTTCAGCAATTATACAGGTTATCATAGTTGTTTTCAAAATCTTTTTTTTTTTTTTGGCCTGGCAACAGTAGTTTAATTAATGACTCTCTATTACATCCCTGGCCCCATTTCACATCATCCATTCTAATCACAATGGTCTCCTGGCTATTCCTCAAATGCAGTATGTTCTTGCCTCTGTAAGAATATTTCTTCCCTAAGTAACTACTGGCTCCTTCCCTCATATTTGATAGGTCATTAGGAATCATCTCAGTGAGGATTTCTCTGACCTGTTTTCAAAACTGTAATCACTTCTATACAACACATACATCCCATCCCCTTTCTCAGCTTTATTGTTCTCCCAGGCATCAACCACATCTGATACATGATACATACCTGTTTTCCTCCCCTGCTCAATTGTAAACACCTCGTTCAGCTTTCTGCTGGAGTAGCAACTCTGACAGTACTGCAGGTACTCTACACAGCCGCTGAACTAAGAGACATGCAGTTGGGCCAGTCTAATGAACAATCTACAGCCACGCTTGAGCACTGATAACTCTAGCATCAAAATGATGTGGGTTAATGGAAACTATTAAGACAGTGGCCATAATTATAAATGCTCCCAAAATTAGCTGTGGACATTGCATTCTTAGACTGTAGACAAGCTTTATGATGCTGAAATGTACCTTCTTGGCCACCCAAGTCAGTGGGGGTGGGTGGGAGTAAACTTAAGGGACATCTACTCTTGATCTTTTCTACTCATTCACAGGATTTATTAATTTTTTTAATTTATTATTTTTAATTTATTATTGATTTTTGTTGTTTCAGTCAGGATCTCACTTGTAGCTTGGCTGTCCTGGAATTCATTAGGTAGACGAGGCTGACCTCTAATTCACAAGAGATCTGCTAGTCTCTGCTTCCCAAGTGCCATCACACCTCACAGGATTTAATTCTCTAAACCAGTACTAAAAATCAGGGCTGTTAAAATGGTGAAAGGACAGAAGCCAGAGCCAACAGAATTCTTTTTTCCTTATTAAACTTTTTTTGTGGGTATGGAGTGGAAGGGGTTGGTTTATTAACTTGCTGGCTAAGAGAACACACACAAAACACTTCTGTCAGGCGTCTAAAAGAACATGTGAGGGACACCACCTCTAGATAATACAATAAATTATCACAAACACTGTGGCTTAAAACCACACACCAGTTCTCTCCGTTTAAGACTGGAATCAATTCACTTACACTAGACTAATAAGAATAGGAAGAACAGGAATAGGTCCTTCTAGGGGAGAATCCATTTTCTTGCCTCTCTGGCTTCCAGAAGCTACCCACATTGTGGGCATTCCAGCATTAAAGCCAGAAACGGGTAAATTAAAAGCTCTTCAAAGACAGAAAAAGTAAAGTAAATGTTCATTCTTTAAAATACTCTAACTTCACTGTCTACATCTGATTCCAGCCAACGTTCTCTGCCTATTAATGGCCTGGGTGATTAAATGGGACTTATCTTTTTTTTTCCTTTTATTATTATTACACATTTTCACCTCCTCCCCTCCTCCCATTTCCCTCCCCCTCCCCCCTCCCCCTCCATCTCCTCCCTGTCCTGCTCCCCAGGCACTCAGGCCTAACATCAACAATCACCCAGGCTGCACTAGAAGTCATCTGGAACTCTCCCAATTCAAATCTCACCTTTCCGTCTTTAGTCAGAAGTATCCATCTTCTATGGAGTAGTTATTTTCATTACAATAATTATTCTGGTCAGTTATTTTAGAAAAGAGCAAGGGGAAACAATTCACACATCACACAAACCCCATGTGGACTCACTCCAATTTCATAGCTGACACCTCCTCCTTGGGGTGCATGCCCTCAGACCATATGCTTGTCTGGTGCTAATTTCCTATTCCAGAATCTAGAATGCAGACTCAAAAAGCAAGGACACTGCTAACATTAACACTGTGGTACATTCATGTTTTACTTGAGAGTAACAGACACCAAGTGTCCAGGCCTTGAGTGAGTCCAGTAGGAGTTTTCATGTCTTACTGAGACATCTCACCCTATACGGCAGCAGTTCTCAAACCTGTATGTCATGACCCCTGGGGGTTAAACAGCCAAGGGGTTACCTAAGACTACTGGAAAACAGATGTTTACATTACAATTCATAACAGTAACAAAATTATAGTTATGAAGTAACTATGAAGTAGTAATGAAAATAATTTTATGGTTGGGAATCACCACAACATGAGGAACTGCATTAAAGAGTCTCAGCAGTAGGAAGGATGAGAACCACTGCTATATAGAGACAATCTGTAAGTTATACATGACTGTATCTCTCATGAGCTATAACTCCATCTCAGCACTCTTAATATTCTGAGATGAATTAACTGTTCCAAGGGTTATCTTTGTAAGAGTCTGACAGTATCTTTGGCCTCTATCTACTAGGCACCAATAGCTTTTCCACCATGTGGGTGCAAGAAACCAAACCATGGTCCTCTGCAAGCAAAACAAGTGCTCTTAACCACTATCTCTCCATCTCCATCGCGTGATTGTTCTTCCTGTCAAAGAAGGGCATCCATACAGAGATGTCTGACTTCCTTACCAATCTACTCAACAGCTTTAATCATCTCAAAATAGACTTATGAGTCTCCCTCCATAAGAACCAGAAAATACAGGATCAAGTCAATATTACCAGATCAGCTCACAGGACTTTGAAGCCGTCAAACAAATTGTCTAGCTTTCATTTAACCAGCAGTGAACTGAGAAAGGACATGCTAGGATTATTCCAGATTTTTCTTTAACTTTCTCCTCCCTATCCTCAGACTGATAAGCCTCTTCCTCCACAATGCCATAATCTTCATAATACAAGGTCCAGAAGAAATGATTCTAGGCTCAGGATGCGCTGATTTCAGAGAAAGTTCTGTCTATATACACCTGTAGATGCTTACAGCTTCCTGTAACCATGATCTAGCCTTTATAATGTCTAACAATATCTTTGGCCTCTATTCACTGGCAAAGGTCCATGAAAAATACCAAATATCTTTCCTTTTAGCTTCACTTTTATATACACTATCAGTTATATAAAAACGTATAACAAGGAAAAATTATACAAATGTAGTCTCCTAAGAAAGCCATTGAATTTTTTCCATCACCCACTGCTAACCTAATATGAATACTCTTAACATGACTGTAATAATAATAAATCTATTTTATGCCTTCTTTTGTAATGATCTAAGCATTTTTAGTATTGCAAGAAAACCTTTAGATTTCACTTCAAATGACCTTAACTCTAAACAAATTAGTGTCCTAAATGATCATCAATGGTGAAGGCAAGAGATAACTGAAATACAACAACTCAATGTTTGCTTGTTCAACAACTAAAGCAATGGATACTATTTCTTAGAAGCAGCCCTTTCCATCATGGAGAGTACTTTAGTCTTAAAAGGGAAAACTTCATTTCAATCACAAACAACTCCTACATCCAGTTTCAGCTCACTAAATGAGTCCTCAGTGTTCTGGCAGCACTATGAAACACAAGTGCATTCGAACAGCAAATTCAACTATAACTGTGGCTGTCATGGGGCGTGTGTGAGATCTCTCACCACTATGCCTTTGCTGAACAGGAAAGACAGTAAAAACTCCTGACGAAAGCGTTCTTCCTAATTACACTTACAAGCTTGGAGTCTACTAAGCACTAGCCTATATACAGTAAGATGATACTCACTATTAAGAATGCCTCCTATTGATTATGTACTGAATGCATTCACAGGTTCTTAGGGAAATACCATCCTCACTTCCAGGTGCTCTATTTCAGTGTCTGCACTACATGTCTGGTAAGGCTGAATCACCCCTGAAGCCTTTCTACACTGATTACCAATCAACCCTCTCTTCAGGAGTTTCCCTAATAATAGAATTAATGGGATTATAGGATATTTCATACTCAAATTCTTTTCTGTTAACAAGGGAAGTCATATCTGAAGACACCTCTCCTCTGTTCATTCAAGAAAAGTTTGGCCAACATTAATTATGCTTCCACGGGCTGCTCTTCAAGGTGTGTTCTCTGATGTCGGACAAGACACCAGCTCCTTCTAAATATTTTCCCACATTGAGGACACTGGCTGGGACCCTCCCTGTTATGGAGTCGCTGGTGTACTACCAAGTGAGTGTTCTGCCTGAAGGACTTTCCGCACTTCAGACACTGGTATGGAGTCTCCTTAGTGTGAATCCTCTGGTGCTTGGTCAGACAAGAACTATCCCTAAAAGCTTTACCACACTGATTACACTCATAAGGCCTTTCACCAGTATGAATCCTCTGGTGCCGGATAAGTCCAGCAATATTCCTGAAGAGTTTACGACACTGGTTACAACCGTAGGGCTTCTCACCAGTGTGAATTCTCTGATGCCTGATGAGGTACGCACTCTCAATGAACGTCTTCCCACACTCTTTACATTCATAGGGTTTCTCCCCAGAATGAATTTTCTGATGCACAATGAGGTGAGAATTGCGATTGAAGGATTTCCCACACTCTACACATTCAAAAGGCTTCTCTCCAGTGTGTGTCCTCTCGTGCTGAGTGAGGTATGAGCCATCTCGGAAAGCCTTTCCACATCTGCTACACTCATAAGGCTTCTCGCCGGTGTGGATTCGCAGATGTACAGTGAGGTGAGAGATGTCAGTGAAGGGTTTCCCACATTCATTACACCTATACGGCTTTTCCCCTGTATGAGTTCTTTGATGCAAAATCAGGGATGAATTTCTGTTGAAAGTTTTTCCACATTCTAGACAGGCATAAGGCTTCTCACCTGTGTGAATCCTCTGGTGTTGTGTCAGAGCTGATCCGTCACTAAAAGCTTTCCCACATTTATTGCATTTATAGGGTTTCTCTCCTGTATGAATCCTTCTATGTACAATCAAGTTGTAGTTCTTGGAGAATGATTTTCCACAATCATCACAGGTGTAAGGTTTCTCACCAGTGTGAGTTCGATGGTGTAAAACAAGAGAAGAGTTCCGTTTGAAGCATTTGCCACATTCAGTGCATTTAAAGGGCTTCTCAATGGAATGACTTCTTTTTTCATTAAGAGATGAGTTCAGGGCCAGAATGTCCCCAAAGTCCTTACCTTTGTAAAATTTTTTGCTTCTTTTCTTAATTTTTTTGTCACAAAGGGGAGTAGTAAAGTGGTTGAGAGATTTAATACTTTCTGTGTATTTATAGGGTTTGTCTTTCATTTGATTTCTTGCAAGTTGAGTGACTTCCATGGAAGGATGAATGGCTTTTTCACAAGCATCACCATCACCAGTTTCCTTAGCTGCATAACTCTGGGGACAACTATGTAAGGTTTGATCACAATCAAAAGTTTTAATATCTGAGTTATGAACATGAAAGCCATTTGTTGTAGGAACTCTCTGAGATTCTAGAAGGGCTGGATTTGTACTCAAATGCTCCCCCACACCAAGATCCTCACAATTTGTTTCCTGAACCCCTGTTTTCTCATCAGTTAAAGGAGACTGCTTCATATTTCTTTCCTGGTTCTCACAGTCCCAATTGTCACCTAAAATGGGGAAGCAGAGTCCCTCTCTTTTAAATCCTTCCATTTCTACCTCAAAGGAAACTTCTTCTTCTTCTTCTTCAGAAACATTCTGAGCTATTATTTTTCAGTCTCATTTTCCATACTGAAAAGAAAGAAAAGACACATTAAGGAAACAGATATATTTGGAAGAAAATGAAAAATGATAATGGGCTAAAGTATGTTTTGCTTTTTTTTTGTTTCAAATTCATATCTGTAAAACAGGGAGTTCGAATGAGTACCAAGGCTGAAGCTAAGAGCAGGTTCAAAAGAAGTGACATTACATTGTAATACTCTCAAAGAACGGGTCAAAGGAATACCATGTAAGGATAAATAAAACAAAAATAATTAACTCGGTACATAGGAGAAGGGAAGGCAGACATCTCTGTTCATTCTCAAATATGATCTTGGTCACCGCCTTCTTGTCCTCTATCACCAATGCCCCTCATCGGAAGTCAACACATACCATGTGAGGAAAGAGAAAACCTAGACCTATAAACCAGTTCTGTAAATGCTGCACTTAGGAGGTAAAGCCATAAGAATGAGGTCAGTCTACTCTATATAACAAATACCAAATCAGCCAAGGCTACACAGTAAAGCCCTATTTATAAATTAAATAAATAAATAGAAATATGGTAACATAAAGCTCAGATCTGCACACATGTTCGTTAAAAGCTGTAAATTAGTCAATCGCATAGCTAGATAGTTTAGTATCCACTAATAAAACATAAACCTTTCATCATGTAAATCTAATCATAGTTACCTCAGAAAATAAGAACAAGTTACTATCAATACACACCTATGAAATGATCTTTTTTTCAATTTTTTATTTTATATGTATAGGTGCTTTCTATGCAAGCATATCTGTGTACCACATACATGTCTTGTGCCTGCAGAGGCCAGAAGACGATATGGGATCCCTTGGAACTGGAGTTTCATACGGTTGTGAGCCACCACGTAAGGACTAAGAATTAAGCCCAGGTCCTCTGGAAGAGCAGCTAATGCTCTTAACCACTGAACTGTCTCCCAAGCCCTCTATGGAATAATCTTAAAAGAAAAGAAAGAAAAAGACAGAACAGTAATGGTAAAGATGAAACTTAATATGATTGGTCATGACTACATAATAGCAAAGTAGAAAGATGAAAAGAGATGGAAAGTTTTCTTCAAAGTACTAAAGGAAAACTACCACGTTCACCAAGATCCAGGAGTGAGAGTAAAATAAAAACAAATTCAGAAAAGCAAAGACATTCTTCAAAAAGAGGGGGACTAGCCGGGTGGTGGTGGCGCACGCCTTTAATCCCAGCACTCGGGAGGCAGAGGCAGGCGGATCTCTGTGAGTTCGAGACCAGCCTGGTCTACAAGAGCTAGTGCCAGGACAGGCTCCAAAGCTACAGAGAAACCCTGTCTCAAAAAACTGAAAAAAAAAAAAAAGAGGGGGACTAAAGAAAGGAGGGACCAGAAAGAAAAAGAAATGGATAAATCCAATGCTGAAAAGAATTGGCCAGATAAAGATCACAGTACAATACAACAGTAGTAACATGCAACCAAACAGACAAGGCATCCTCAAAAGAAAGAAACCAATATATCCAAACACAGCAAAAGGCTTATTTCCTTTGAAAATTGGAAAATCAAAAAAATAAAAACTGCTGGACAAGACAAGCAGCAAAAATTTTCAGTAGCTAGCCTTATCAAACAGTTGGTTGAAAAGCCATGTACATTGAAAGTCAAATGTTTTCTAAGCACATGTGAAACATTTGCTTAACATGACCACAAACCAGATCAAAGAAAATACTGAGCAAAGGCCAGATGACAGCATAAAAGACCAGTCTACGGAATAGAGTGCAGTCAAGCTAACAACCAGTCAACAGAAGAAAACCAAATACAAGAAAACCAAAGGTAAAAAAAAACAAAAAAACCTGTATTTCTTTGAAAAAGTGTTAACATGAAAACCTATTTTTTAGTGATGGATAGATCTAAAACCTTGATTAAAATAATACCTCTAAGTAAAAAGAATAAAAATGCTATTATCACAAAATGTGACAAATTAGGCTGCAGTCAACTTAGTTCTTGGACAGAAAGTATTATTCTTTAACACTTACAGTGAAAAAAGACCACAGAGCTAGGAGTGTATATTGGAAGAGTGCTGACCTAGCCTAAGACCCTGTGTTCCAGCCCCAGCATCAGAAACAGTAACAATGATGAATTCCTGGATATCCTAAAGTATACTGTGTAACAGGTTAATCAGTCATGAGGACCTCAACCTTAGCGAAGGATTTTCATGACGAATAGATGGTATATACTAATATGAATAACAAAACCACATGTGCAGCTGTGGGTAAAGCGTGGTGTTCCTAGAATGGCTCTGTGGGCTAAAACACAACTATCCACTGCTCCTACACTCATCTGGATGAACCATAAATCCCCACTGAGTGGCGCTCCAGAACAACATAATATGCACCTCGTACTTTCACTAAAAAGAAACTCAAGCTTGGCCAGCATTTTTGCCACCTTACCAAAAGAAGGTGGAAAACATGCTTGAACATGTACAATTTGAGGCCTTTTATGTAATCATACTTTTACCACCTACTATTAACTTGACAAAAAAAAACAATGCTAGTGAGTTCACTTCTCACACTATACCTCATTTATATACAATCTCTATGTTCCAAAATGAAAAGGAATATCCCAAGAAATATTAGAGGACCTAAAAGTAAAATTAGGGAGCTGGAGAGATGTTCAACAGTTAAGAGCACCTACTGTTTCTGAAGAGGACCTATGTACAGTTCTGAGCACCCACATGAAGGCTCAAAACTATCTCTAACTCCAGTCCCAGAGAATCAAGAACCTCCATTCCCAGTGCGCACTGTGTACATGTGGTACACAGTTATACACAGAGACAAAACATCCATACACATAAAATTAAAATAAACAGTAAAAAATTTAAGGTCTGACAAGTTCTACCTAAGCTCAGTTCATGAATGTCTTGTGAATAGGTGGGTAACTACTTAAAGAATTTTTTAATTAATTTCACCTATAACTAATACTTATTTTATCAAAGCCTAAAATACAACCAACAAAGTCAAAAGTCACCCACCAGATGAGAGACAATGTATCTAGACTATATATAGAACTCAGAAGTCAATAATAAAATCAGACAGACATGTGGTCCACACCTATAATCCACACTTGAAAGGAAACCATGCCCCACCCCTACCCCTGAATAAATAAACAAAAATGACAACCCACATTTTTAAATGAACAAAGCAGAGATCTTTCTTATCTTACTTTAGATCGCTTTCTGAATTCAAATAGACAACAGCCTCATGGCTCATAGTCCCCGAGTCTGGAAAGTCCAAAGCCATTGTCAGGTATGGGAAAGGGGTCACTTCCTAGCTTGAAAATGAACAATAAACAAAAGAAACGATGCCCAATATCACTAGCCATGATAAAAATTCAAATCAAAGCAATACGAGGTTTCACTTCATATTCACTAAGATGCTGCGATCAGTTCCGTTTCTATGTAACTATTCCACAAGACAGAAAAACATACATCTATTTTTTTAAAAAGGGGTTCACAATATTATTTGTGACATCCAAAACAAGATACACTGAAGAAACAAATAAAAACTCAGAAAGGAATACAAAACTACAAAACTGAACAAAGAACATATACATGAATTTTGAAGATGTTTCCTAAGTCAAAAGAATCAGACACAAAGGACACAGATACTACAACTAGTTCTATGGAATCTCTAAAACATACAAAAAAGCTAGAGGCAAAGAGATGGAGGCGAAAAAAGTGGTAGCTAATGAGTATGGGTTTTCTTTGGAGGGAAGTGGGGACTGATGAAAAGGTTCAATTGCCAAGCATGGTGGCACACATCTTTAATCCCAGCAACCAGAAGGCGGAGGTAGGTGGATCTCTGTGTTCAAAGCCAGCCTGGTCTATACAGCAAATTCCAGGCCAGCCAAGATTACACAGAGACCCTGTCTCAAACAAAAACAGCAACAGGAATGCTGAACTGTACACCTTAAGAGAATAAACTACAGGGTATGCCCACACAGACAAGTTTTTGTTATTACTGTTGCTTTTTAAGTGTAGAGTCCACGAGGATCAGATCTATTGGCCTACGCTCAGCTGGCACATTAAAAATTCGAGAAAGAAATGAACAGTTATGAGACTGTGCCAGCTTGTGTAGAACTGCTCCTCTCCCAAGTGCTGGGATTGCAGGCAGGCATCACCATGCCTGACAAGAGTGTATTTCTTTTACTACTTTTTCAGATGGAAAAAATAGAATTAAGTACGAATTCATACAAATTCCCACACACACATTTATAAAATGACAGAGAAAAAACTTATGGAGGAGGGATCTCCATAAACCTTGAAATGATTAAAATAAGCATAAAAGATGTAGCTCAAGGACAGTGATTGCCTAGCACAAACAAGGTGCTTGGTTCAAAACCACACACACACACACACACACACACACACACACACATACACACACACAAGATAAAATACAGACCCAAGAAAGACATAAAGCAAAATACAGAGCTAAAGAGTTATCCAAGTTACTCGGATAAAGAAGTTTCTCTGAATAATGGAGTACACAAAACATACTCCAAAAAAACCCTGAAATGTCTGACTATATGAAAACAAGTAATATGAATCTTGGGCTTTTGAAAATCAAAAAAGCAACAAAGAATTAAACTAGCAACCCTAAGAATGATGTACTCATGGCAGCAAGCACTTTAACCACATTGATCAAAGACTGGCCACTACCAACTTGACATGACTGCAAGGACATATTTTACTCAGGTAACTATCAGTAAAACAAGAGAAGAATTTAATGTCGGTCTGAACTGAACAGAAGCACACCCTACAAGATAACCAGCTATGTCTTTAAAAAAAAAATCAAAACACTACAAACCATCATAGAGTAGAACTAGTGTCAATAGTTGAAGGTGATTGAAAAGACAACTTAGAGCCGGGCGGTGGTGGCACACACCTTTAATCCCAGCACTCAGGAGGCAGAGGAAGGCGGATCTCTGTGAGTTCGAGACCAGCCTGGTCTACAAGAGCTAGTTCCAGGACAGGCTCCAAAGTTACAGAGAAACCCTGTCTCGAAAAAACAGAAAGAAGGAAGGAAAGAAAGAAAGAAAGAAAGAAAGGAGGGAGGGAGGGAGGGAGGGAGGGAGGGAGGGAAGGAGGACGAACTTAATGCCACAGACGATCCTGAAATGAATCTTGAATCAAAACTATTTTTAGAAAATAAAACATACCAAGCTCATCCCAGTAAGGTTTCTTTGCAGAAAACTGTCTGGATTGGACTGAGCAGACCATATGATCAAGGGCTCAGAACAAAGGAAAAAATAAACATGAATGTTTACTTACAAGAGAAGGGAAAGAGAAAGAAGACATTTTTCCTCCGAACTCGACATTTTTCCTCCGAACTCAGTATGTCATTTTTTTATTATTAAGTTAAAAAATTAAAAAACAAAAATTAAAAAATAAAACATATACAAGTAATTGCCATATAATGGGCAGTTAAGGGTTGTTGGCAAAGATAGAGACATTTCTTTTTCTTTTTTGTAACATTTATTTTTATTATGTGCATGTGTGTGTCCATATGAGTGAATGCCATCTGTGTTGGATGCTCTCTCTTAAGTCGGAACGGTGCGATGGGTACCTTGGAGTTGTAATTACAGGTGACTGTATGTCTCAAGACTTAGGTGCTGAAAACCAAATTCGTGTCCTCTGGAAGAGCAGTTTAAGTGTCCTTAATCACCAAGTCTCTACAACCCCCACCGCAAGAGGAACTTTTTTTTCAGTGGTGTAGCCACTGGAAGGTTGGTAGAATACCTATGCTCCTTTGCGCTCGTGGAAGACAAAAATAAAACAAAACAAAATGCTCGTATTTTAAAGAGAACCTTCACTAAAAAATTTCAGTGTAGTCTCACAATATCTACTATATTACTTCTAGTAATTCAGCCCCCCCACACACACTATATTAATATATGCCCTATCACACCTGTCTGTGCTACACTCATTGTGTATATAAAACACAGTAGACATGGTTTTTTTTTTTTTTTTGATTTTTCGAGACAGGGTTTCTCCGTAGCTTTTGGTTCCTGTCCTGGAACTAGCTCTTGTAGACCAGGCTGGCCTCGAACTCACAGAGATCCGCCTGCCTCTGCCTCCCGAGTGCTGGGATTAAAGGAGTGCGCCACCACCGCCCGGCCAGTAGACATGTTTTTAAGAGAAAGAAAAGCTAATGTAGCAAAACGTTAGTAACTCAACAACCTGGATGGATGGTTTAGTCACGATCTACTAAACTCTGCCAGCAACTTAGCTGTGGGTGTGAAATCTTTCAAATTACAAAAGCTGAGAGAAGGCGGAGGAAGAACAGAGGGAAGTTATTGAAGGGAGATGAACAAAAGCGTGTTTTTACAGGAAAATAAAACCACTGAAAACCAAGGAAGAGATAGCAAAACAGCTAAAAAGCGCGCGGGGGTGTGGGGGGGGGCGGGACTCCTCCCTGACTACAATCATTATATAAACACACACACACACACACACACACACACACGAGAGAGAGACAGACAGACAGACAGACAGACAGACTGGGAGACTTTGCAAGAATCAGTGGAGGGAAAAGGAAAACTACCTAGAAGGTTCCACGGAAAGCATTCCCGCCCACTTGAGCCTAGTAGCCCACTCAGTGCGAGACCGGCAGATCCGGGGGGCCCGGCGCCCAGAGGATCTCTGCAAAACCTCCGGAAGGGCCGGGCTCGAGACGAGGACACCGGGCTCCTAAGTACCACTGAGGAAAGGGTAGGGCCCACCTCACCGATAGCAGCTCAGAGGAGGAGCGTTCGCAGCAGCCAGAAAGGGACGGACCTCTCCGACCGGGGGCGTGCACACCCGCCAGGACAGCAGCATCCCGGCCACACCCTCCCGGTGAGCCCGAAACGCCCACGGCCTCCGTGAAACCCGACGCAGACGCTATGCACGCCACCCCCGCCAACACCCCCTCCCTCCGACTCCCACTCGCACAACACTCTGCGGGGAAGATGAAGCTTAGAACGGCGCCGAGGCGCGGAAGAACTCACTGTTATCGATCGGCGGCAGCCATGTTCGCGGCGACCGCGCATGCGCAGACTCCGGTCCCGGGATTCACGCGCGTCCTGGAGATTCAGCCCCCTCTGGCTGCAAGGTGCTGGTTTAAGAGCTTTGCACTGTTCACTGGTCCCCGCAGCTGGCCTGACAGGCTACCTGGACCTGTCACCCAAGGCATTGCGATCAGGAAGAAATGATTCTTCACCTTTATTTACGTAGATATAACTAAGTCATTGAGGACTCACGAATATTCATTTTCTACCATACAATTGAGAGGGCTGCCTCTGGATACAAGATAGTCTCTCCCAAGTTCTCCCCATGTTAAGATTTTGTTATGGAGTCTTATTTTTATTTACTACATAACTTGACAAAAATACGCTTAAAGGGAAAATGCTAGCATTCAGCCAAATATACCTATTTTATTGACAATCATAGGAGGAAATAAGCTATCTTTTAAAATTTATGTGTATGGGTGTTTTGCATGCACATATATCTGCGTCTTGTGCATGCAGTGCCCTCCCCCATAAAGAAAGGTGTCAAATCCCCTAGGTCTGAAATTATAGATGATTGCGTCGCCATGTGGGTGCTGAGAATTGAACCCATCTTACAGAAGAGCAGTAAGAGCTCTTAACCTCTCTCTCCATATCTCCAGACCCAGGCTACATCCTTAAAAACAATTTTAAAAACAGCTAAGGATTCTAGAAAATTAGCAAATGTTTTTTAATCAGTAGCTAAAAATCAGTAACAACCAGTAGAAACTGTGTTGAAAAGAAATAAATGTTCTCGATCTTTTATGTTAATGTACAGAATTCTGACTTTTAGAAAAAATTCAAAGTGGGCATGGTGGAGGAAGCATGCCTGTGATCCCTGCACTTGCCAGGGAGAAACAGTTGGCCTTTAAAAAGCCAAAACCATATTTCTATAAAACACAGATTTAAAAAAAATTTAGTGAGTTATTTTATGGTGGTGAGCTTTTGTTTATAATTGGGTCTTGTGTCACTAAGTCTGACCTCAGATTTTAAGTGATTTTCCTACATCTTTGTCCCTAGTGCTGGAATGCACCACTGTGGTCTTTTGAATAACACTGGCCCCCATAGGCACATAAATTTGAATGTCTATTTCAGAAAGATTAGAAACTGTGGCCTATAGGGGCCATATTATACAGGCCCATATTTCTACATTGTATGGCGGCCAGAATTTCAGGCCACAATTTACACCTGCCACACAGAAGGTGGTCGCCTAGCCGTTGCCATCCTAAACAGAGAATCAGGATATGCTAATGTCGCTCTGCTCCTTTGTAATTTGGGAGATCGCCTAGGAAAGAGTTGTTAATGTTTTACTTTTTGATTTGAGTAGTGGTTTATGTAAGGACACTGTTGATCTTTGTTGCAATGTCCACCAAAGTTTACAACTGATAAAGTAAACCCTAGGTCACAAGAGTTTCATAGCAGTTTTTTTTTTTTAACTGTAAACAAAGTTTGGTCGTGTCTGCATGTCTAATAGAAAATTGCAGGTTCATGTCTGGGAAGGAGTAAGGCCAAACTCAGAAGTTTTATGTGCCTAGGCCTTAACCATGGCTCACTCCTATTTTAACATTCTTATTTGAAAACACCTCTATGTAAAATAAACATAGCCTCTACACGGGCAACTTTTACAGCAGTTGATGACTTGTGCTGGAATGCTTAACTCTCAGTTGATGAGACTTCTCCCAGAGTGGAGAAGGCTCCTTTTCCTCCACTGTCCCCTTACTATTCCTTTTCTTTATATTCTGCCTCAACTGGATGTACTGAACTCTACGTCAACTTAAACTACATGTTCCCTAAACTATACCTGTCTTTCTCTTTCCATTTACATTTGAACTTCTCTCTGGAGTTGGGTTTTCTAAGAAGGTGGCTTCTTGAATGGGGATTGGGGGATACAATGGCCCGTGACTCATTCTTCTATTTAAACAAGTATCCAAGTGAACCTAAGAAAAGTATTTGATGTAGGGAACCATGACAAGAACTATTTTCTTTTTTTTTTTCATAAACTAAGCAGAAGGGGGAAAAACAACTTAAGAATTTCCCAGAATCATACTTTAGATATGTGTTCTCCTTTGAGAGAGGTTTCCTTTCTGTGACATCTTAGACTTGATTGAACTGCGCACACTTCAAAGATCTGAGCCAGAACAAAAGAGGGAAGATAGGTTGTCCTTCCACTGATGAGGAAGGTGCCTATATCAGGCACGTGGGGAGACCCAGAAGAATAAATGGCTGTGTGCAGCTGCCACATTCACTGGCCTGACATTTACCATGACCCAATCAATAAGGGTGTGCAATGTTGTGGATATTAAAAAACAAGGCTCCAGCAACCAGCAAAGAAATGAGCCAAGCAGGCTGGGCACTGGTGGCACATGGCTTTAATCCTAGCACTTGGGAGGCAGAGACAAGTGGATCTCAGTGAGTCTAAGGTCAGCCTGTTCTACCAAGCAAGTTCCAGGATAGCCAGGACTGCTACACAGAGAAACCTTGTTGGGGAGGGGGGGAAGCCAGCCATCATAAACCACCACCAAGGAAGACCAACTGCTGTAAGAGATAACGAATGCCCTTAACCCAAATCAAATGAGCAAACCCAGGAACTGCAGTTAGAATGGAAAGCTTTCTGTAACTGAACAGCTTGAATCTCAAATTTGTAAGCAGACAATTCAAACAAAAGCTTCTGAAGGCTGGATGGTGAAGTGAAAAAAAATATCAAATTCAAGAGCAAAGCTTTAAATATTCTTTCTAGGGAAGATGGAAAATTTCAAACAAAGTATTAAATATGGCATGGTAGTATATAGTCTCAGCACTTGGGCGGTAAAGGCAGGAGAATTAGAAGTCAAGGGACATCATGGCCTACAATACAGAAGACCTGACTTAAAACATAATAAGTTAATTCATGAGACACTGGAACATTCACAAGGAAAACAAACAAAAAGCTGGACATTTGGGGGCATTTCTGTAATCTCAGCAATCAGAATGTGGATGCAAAACAATCAGGAGTTTAAAGCCTGGACTATAGGACATCCTGACAACAAAAAGAAAGAACAACAACAAACCAGAATAAAACAAAATAGCTAAAATAATACTGTGTTGAGATCATGAAGGTCCTTCTGCTCAGAGAGAAGCACTAAGAGAACCAGGAATATCAATCACACAGGGGTGTCTCCTCAATAGCCGGATAAAAACCAAATATCTGTATTGCATCCTGAGAGCTGAAAGTGGAGGTTATTAATGATCTGGTGACTGTTTTGATACCTGATGGAGAAAGCCCTCACCCTAATTCCCCAGAATGATTATCCCAGACTCTAACCTCCCTAGATCATTACCCATCCTTAGGGAAGATGTTATGCGTATTTTTATGGTCTGCCGACCTCTATGATATCAGACAGAGACCACATTGGATTCTAGCCTTTTAGCTATAGAATACACCCTCACGGTCACATGTACTTTGTAAAAGAGTCTCTATGTAATTACACCTTAAGCTTTATTGTGCCCCTGGAACTGAACTGATTGGACTGACTTGTTTGGAAACCTTTTCCCAAACTGCACTGTGTTTTAAATAAGCTGACAACGAAGACGATGAACTTCATTAGTCTGTCTCCCCAAAGTCTGACCCAGGTTGACAAAGTCAGTCTGAATCAGGTTTTCATTCTCGTCCTCTATTGGATAACTGCAGGGAGCCCCTCAATATAGATTTGATTTGGAATTGAAATAACAAACAGAAATGAATATAGTAGAAACAAATCCAAAGAGGCTTATCTTTGACTACCAACCAAATGTAAAATGTACAAATCAATAATGTTGAAAAACAGATTTTTTTAAGTGCTTCCAATGCAGGTTGGAGTTGTTTTATTAATATGTTAGGGATTGAATCTAGGGCCTTGAACATGCTTGGCAATCACTCTAACACTGAAATACACACCAATGCTGAGCTTTGTGTTTTAATATATTAATATTATAGAATATATGTTTCTATCAATTTGATGTATTTTCACCAATTTGCATATTGGAAAATGCATATTGTATCGTTTCACCATATTGCAAAAATAGTCCACTGTATCAATGTTTGCAAACCCTTAATGCATTTCTTTTAAAAAGCAGCAAGTCATATAATAAACTCATATACTTCAAATATATTAAACATATTCTCAGAAGTACCATAGATGTCATAAAAAGTACACTAAGTGTAAACAGAAGAACTGTATGTTCCTAGCGTTGAATGATAAAAGTACAGAGAAAACAGACACATGATAAAAGACATTAACATGTAACAGGAAGACAGAGCTTCAACAAATGGAGACTGGAAGAGACTGAAAGGCTCGGAATGGTCAAATCAAAAGAGAAAGCAAAACAGTTACTAAATATGTGAAATACTGATCAAGCTGTTTTATAGAGAAGGAAATAATAATTAGAGTAACAAAAATAAGGCAAGAAAGATGGCCCAACAAACAGTGCACAGGCCATGCAAGTCTGGTGGCTTGAGGACACATTCCCCAGAATACATGTAAAAGCAGGAGAAAACTGACTCCATAAAATTGTACTGACTTCCACATACATGTATACCAACAATAAATAAAAATCAAATTAAAAAAATAAAATAACCAAAATAAATACTTTGAGCTATCAGACTGGCAAAATTAAAAGAGCTACCAATCTTCCATGGCTACTTATGGGAAACTGAATTGGTACTGGTCATCTCAGAAAATAACCTGGCAACATCTTTAAAAGCTAGGGGCCACCAGATGGATCAGCAGGTAAGAGCACTTCCTGCTCTACTAGGAGACCCAACTTAGGTTCCCAGCCCC